ATGAAGGTAAATATCAGCGCTACAACCTAACAAAGCCGGAATTTTTGTTTTCAATTTATTTGTTTACAAAAAACTCGCGTTTTCTAAAAAATTAATCTAGGTTTTTCGAAAAAACTGTCTAAAAAAAATTAATTTTTTGTTTTCAAAAATCCGGCTTTGTTAGGTTGTAGGGGTAGGTCTTCTCTACATTTTGACACCATCCTGAGGTCCGTATCATTAAAACTGAAAACAAAATCTTTGACACACGGACACCTACTTTTTGGCCCTTGATGTTACAATAACTCACGAAAAACTCAATATTATGAGCTCAAGTTTTTACTGAGAACTATCAATGGTCAGATGCATATTCAATAAAAATTTCAGTAAGATTGAGTGTTCTGGGAAAAAAAAATAATTTTAGAGGGGAGAGGGGCCCTTAACAATTATAAACTGTACAGTAAGAGTAAAATAAAAGTTATCTAGCCGCAAAGGTCAAATTTTCCCAGCATTTTCGAGCAGGATAATATTTTCATATAAACCTAAAAGGTATGAAAAGGTCTGTACAGCTTTCAGTCAATCTATCGAAAATTTTAAGATTCCTTGAGTTGTTTATATTTGTGTCTATTGATCTGAAACGGCTTTCCTGGCTCTATGATATACTACAGAAGTATAACTTCATACTTTTCAAAACAAGTGGAATACTGTGTCCGTTGTCACTCTGATTTACGACTTCTTTTTAGGAACCTCATGTTTTCGTCTAGTGTGGGCATATCCAGTTTTATTGTATTGAACAAATAGCACCGATTTTGTACCAGTTAGGTGAAACTAATAGCGGCCATCAAGATGCTTTTCTTCTGCTAAAGTCCTCTTTGCTTTTACCAGAATTTTACAAGTGCATGAATAACTTTGAAAAATAAAACATTATTTTTTGAACTTACATTTCGATGTAAAAGTCAGCATCTTTCGGTTGTTAACTTGGAAAAATACTGTTTTCGAATAACGTGCCCTAAACAATATAGCAACAATATAAGTTTTCTTATAGTCCTTGTGATTGGCAGTATCCATCTCGGGCACACAAGATTAATGCATTTCTCTTGATTCACATACATCTGTACATACATTCAGCTCTCAAATAAACAAAATGAACAGCGTGCAAAAAATACATTGGTTTTAGCACTTTTGGGCCGCTACGAGCTTTCTTTTCTATTCAATTAAACAATAGAACTGTTGATTTAATACTTCCTTGTCTATCTATGAACCACTTGATTGTTTGTCTTTTCGCGTAACTGGCAGAACGGTGACAAACAGATGTGACATATCACAACGTGAATGAAACTTTTTGAAACTGTTATGAGCGCAATTGACACTTTCTATAATAATATAGTGTAGTTTTCCATCGTGTTGTGTTTTACTTGTATGAGGTCAAAATATGTATAAATAGTTGAATAACGAGTTTCGCATTTCCTATGACGTTGATAAAATCTGTGATTTGTTGTGTACTTTTGTTCTTTATATTTTGCGTACAAGTTTTCTATCGAGGGAAATGTGAAAGATATATTTTTCTTCGTATACATTATGTACAAAAAATTTTCAGAACTTTACACTTCACTCAAAATTCTCATTGGAAATACTCATTTTTGTGTGTATTCATATTATACATTCGTTACGAATCTCTAACTTGACCGAGTTAAAATTGAGGAATTGTTGAAAGAGTTGTTCTATATAGAGTCTGCTAATAGTGTTGACTATTATTTGCCCTATGATTTCCGTCTAATTTGAGTTTAGTGTGCACTTTTTTTGTATGCAGCCAGAGGACACTCATCAACACCATTCGCCGAATTTAAAATAGTCTGTTTTTTTTATTCTTTAGATTCTTGATTATTGAATTCATTTATTTCACTTTCATGTAATCATATTAAACCTTATTTATTATCATCTTTTTGTTAATCTATTATACATGTTAATTTGCAATTTTAATTGCGTGCTGACATAGTTGAAATTATTCCTGATTAAATTTGAACTTTGTAATATCACAAAATTATTAGTTTGAGGTGAATTGCATTTTTTTTAGGTAAAAATCATTAGGCACTGAAGTTCTTTCTTTTTAAGCTGCACGACTCGTTTTTCTCCAGTGTCGTGTTTAGTGCCGACCCGATGATTTCTTTCCGTCGTAATGTATGGTAGCAAACACAGTACAATTGATGGGTAAGTCTGATTATTCATATAATTTCTGTATATAAATGTATTTAGATTCATTCGTTTAGTCTGTACGAACCAAAGAATTTAGTAGACGAAAATTATTCGGTAAATAAACGTAATTTTACATCTGCAACTTGAAATTTCATTCGTATTTTTATCTGATGTTTAGACTGGTAGACCAGAGTGGAATTTACATAGTTTGAATGATATCACGCAAGAAGAATCATCCAACCATCGAAAATACATTCGGACTCACTGTTTGTAGTAGTTTTTTTCATTCTGAATGATACGTAGTAATCGTTATTGTGTTTTTATTCCATTATAGCATTAAACACTTCCACCATTCATCGAGCTGTCCCCTCTTCTTCATCAACTACAACACACAAGTATCAAAATGGCGAAAAAGATGCTACCAGTTCAACAGTCACTACCACTACAGCATCATCATCAGCGTCTAAGAAAACTTCCAAAGATGCCAAAAAGCCGATTCGTGTGTGCAGCGATTGGTCTGAATTCCGAAGTTCAACTGGTAAAACCTATTTTTACAACTGCAAAACAGAAGTTTCACAATGGGAAAAACCAAAAGAATGGACCGTTGACAAGTTAGTTTACTTTTATATAACTTATTTGTGCCTAATGTTCTAAACTTTTTGTATAAAATATACATTATATAAAATGCAGATAAAAAATGTACTTTTTAGTGGAGCTAGTGAATAGATATTTGCTCATAAACATTGAACATAACGACTTTTTACTCTTTTTAAGTGTAGCGCGCCCATTTTTACTCAAAAAGTCATCTTTCTCTATTTAATCTATTTAGTTCGACTGCTAACTCAACACTACCATCATCCGATCAACAAAATAATTCAGTACCACATGTCGATCGCCTCAAAAGAGGTGCGCACAAATCTACTTTATTTTGTTGAAAATCATTAAACTCATTTTTTTTCTTTCTAGGAAGCACAATTAATTCCAAAATGCCATCGTCGGCCCAGAGCAACAGTCGGAATAGGACGGAAAAAACAATATCTAATTCAACGTCATCATATTTATCGAATACCAAAGACTCTTTATCATCGTCTTATCCATCAAGTAAATTATCGTCGCCCTACCATCACCTAACGAATGGTGATCACACAATAAAAAACGTTAGTCAAGAGTCTGTACAATCTTCGTTGCCAACAGCGACTAGTGAATCAACAATGCGTTTAACTAGTCCACTTGACAACAGTTCACGAATGTCAGTTTCATCAAACAGTAGTAAAGATTCTCCTGTGCTAGTCGATAGAGCAGGTGAAATGAATGGTGTACATTTATCGCTGTCTGAACCAGGTAAAAACATTTTTTCTCGTAATTTTGTTTTAAACTTCGTTAGACATCAGGATCATCGCGTTGAAATTTGGGAAGTATTTGCGTCGTCTTCGTCGACCATTTTAACTTTAAACATCAACGCCAAAAATTTTTGATCATCGTCTATTTCTAACTAAGAATAAATCTTTATGCTAATTTCGTCAAAACTGTGACAAGAGATTGTTTTTCTTTAGCTATTTCTTTCGCTAACCATTTGGCGTCAGAAAATCATGAAAAATATCAACAGCCGTCAGATGTGCAACAAAATGGTAAATAGTCTTTGATTTTAGCTACTGATCAGCCTTCTAATAATATTTTATCTTGGTACTTAGGTCATGAGACGAAAAGTTCTACACCAGCATCAACAACGGAATCCGTACATAAGTATGTCTTTTTGTTCAAGAAACACAGTCTTGTTTTAGTCAGTTTTATTGTTTTTGCTTCTAGTATGGAATATGAATTTCCACCAGTATCAAAAGCTGAACGTGATCAAGAAATTCAAAAGTATTATCGTGCAGATTTGATCCATCATCTCGTAGATTGGCCATCGACACAGCTTGAAAAACAGGTAGTTTTATTGAAAGAAAAATTCACTGAACAGTTCAAATCTCTATTTCTTCTTGACGTTATAGCTATTGGTATGTTAATCTGCGCTCGCATTATAGTTTTTATTTATAGCTGACTATGTTTTCAGAATACCTCGTTTAACAAGACGAATTACTTTCTCTTTTAAACTTTTATTTGCGTAATGTTGTCTTTTTTTTTACAGGTTTTCTCAATATTATCTTTTCATGATAATGTTCTCTAACTGATGTGTTTTAACTTTAGTGTTTGAAAGTTTTCGACGAATATTATGCTTATAGTGCAAAAATTTCGACTGCATTCACCGAACTGAAAGCGCTAAAATCGAATTTCAGAGTGCTGGAAATTAAACGTAATATTCAAACACAGAGGTTAGTAGTTTATAATGAATTTTAGTATCTTTTTGGATGATAAATTCAACATATGACTATGCACGGATGAATGAATAAAGAAGTCACGAGATTCTTTAGGTCCGACGAAGTTGTTCAAGTCGTAACATGGTTGCTCTAATTGTGCTGTAACTTGATATTTATAGGCAAATTTATTCAAACAAGCGATATTGTTCTTTTTAGACTTCTACGTTGTCAACAGCCTCTTACTCTGGATCGAACAACATCAATGCTTAATCGTGATAATGATAAAATTGTGTAACAGATCGAGTCATTGTCTGCTTGTTGTCAAGTTATTTTTAATTTCTTAATTAAGAAAATCTTTCTGTTTTTATTTCTATGTTATACTTGTTGTTTTAGTCGAACAAATGATGTATCTTTCTACCCACCATAGTTTTCAATTATTACTTAAAATGTTTCATATAAGCGTTCATACATAAATATATCTTTTCATTCTTCAACGTATTCGAGTAGAGATATATATCATTAATTAGTTTGATCGAAAAAACTCTATATATTAATTTATATATTCGTTAGAATACTGAATAAATACTCTTGTATATAATTGAGCATAGATTTTCGTTCTTGTTTTATGTCAGATATAAGATCTATCATTTGGCGAAAATTATAGGAAATTTGAAGCTGTGAAAACATTAGAAACCGAATTATCTATTTTTTATTTGAATCTACAAGTGATCCTAGTAGTCAGAATAAAGAGACAATGTCGGCGCATAAGTGTAAACCTCTCTAACGCATCCCCACTAACAAACCGGTTTTTTTCTTTATAAGGTTTATTTTGTCTTCTGTTGAAAATACATCGTTTTATCAATAAAACAACATATTCACAGTTGATTTCGTGCACATATTTTTGTTGCTGTTAATCTATTTCAGTTCTTCTCTTGGTTTATAGAGGTTACTCTTCATTTTTTTGTGTTCTATTTGAACTTTTCTTCCTTTGCATGTGTACAAATAAAAACAAGAGGGAGAGATAGTGATTATCATTCAAGCAGAGAGAAGTTGACATATGTAGTTTTGTATTCTTTATCCTTCATTTTTTTACCCGCTTTTCTTCTCTCGCATGGTTTTTCTTGTGTTATGCAATTTGTTCATTTTTGTCTTTTGTCTTTGAAAAGTAAAATTATATATATATTGTAAGACAAATACGTTCGTGTAGATATTTTATGTGTTAGTATTCCACATACATTCAAAGTGTAAAGTATAAATATTGATCATAGTGCAATAATTCCAGTTTATATTTGAAAGGTACTTCTTTTGGATGGATTGGATTTATGCTCTGACCTTGAGTTTATTATATAACATGTGGGAATGATGAAATATTTTTATCGTGACTATATGGTTCGAAATATAATTGACAATCTATTTGTCGAAATATTGTGTAGAAAATGTTTGAAGATGTTTTTATATATTTAAATTTTTGTGAATAAAGTCAAAAAAATGTTCCTTTCAATATTATACGAGTAATTAAATAATTTTCATTTATTTCTCCAGAGAATGCAGACTGCATTCTGAAACTGTATTTAATGGCTAATTAAAATTAAACTACATTTCGGTTCATCTTCGTCAAAAATTTCCTTAACTTTTAAACGTAATGAGTAAAATGCATGAACATTCGTTTTTACTATCTACGGATGGAAACCAGTGAAAATTTCACCCTTCTATGAATATATTATCTGAACTTAATCAATGATGTTTACATGCATTCATCATATGATACAAAATTTGTAGAAATTTTAAGAAAATATATTTAAGTCAAAGCGAACTCATATGACTTAATAATAGCAGAATGTATCATAATTAGTTTTTATATTTACATTCATTTTTCATCAGATTCACACATGAAAGATATCGAATCGTAATAATTAATAAATTGATATACTTAATTAAACATTAGCAAGATTAAGAGGACAAAATTTTCGGCAAATATTTAGAAAATTAAATCAATTTAAAAAACGGTCGATCTACATGCCGCTGATGTTTACAATGTTTTACCATTAACGGTATTAGGTAGGATGATACATGGCGAACACATGTTGGATCACGTGGTACATATATGAAAATAACAGTGATAAAGAATCATAGTATTCTGTCGAATATATAAACAAAAATATGACATTTAATAATACAAATAATTTATAACTACATAGGCTTTATTATTTACATAAAATTTCACAAATTATGGATATATTGTGCTATTTAATGAATTAAGAGATTTTGAGAGAAAGATTAATGTATAGATTCTAGATGATACAATACTACTCTACGCAATATTTTTTAAACTAAATATACATTAAAGTCGAAGAGAGAGATACCAGAGATGCACCATAAATTTTCTCTTCTCTCTATTATTGGCTTCAATTGTATTCTCTTTTGTTTATATCTACTTTATAAAATAATATCATGAACGTTTTTCCATTGTTTTTTCTGCAATGTATACTATGTAAAATGGTTAGCAAAACATTTGCCGATTATTTCAGCTAATCTCAGTTTATTTTAAGAAAAATGTTTTCTATCGTGTTTCACAACTGGAAATATGTAAAAGAAATAACCCTTTTTTTTTTCCTTATTGAACATTTTTTCTGTTATGATTATGCTAGACGGATGTCATTAGGTACTCAACACATTCAAGTTTCATTCTACCTTCATGTTAGAATAGTATCTCACACACATTTGTTACTGATTATTAAAACAATTTATTTAATAATTTTTCGACCATATGCGTGTATGTAAATAAAACTAGGTAAAATTTTGTCAACTTCGCAATATCCATATATACAGGAATAATTAAAAAATATTATGTCAACTAATTTTTGTTTTTTGAATCAAAAAATAGTCCATGTAAGTTTTTATTACATATTCTTTTTTTTGTTAAGAACACAATTTAACAAAATATTCTTTTCCTACATAGATATGATTCCACTGGTTTTTCTAAAACATTTTATCTTAATGTCTTAATCTACAGGGAAGGACTAGTAGTGAGCTGTGCGTTAAACTGATTTCTTTTTTAATACTTATAACAGAAGGACAAAAAAATGAGCTTTTTGTAAACCATTCAATGCAAAAAACAAAAAAAGAAGACATATATACTACTGCATGAGATATTTAATAAACTTGCTGAGAATAATAATAATGTGTCTTTATAAAAAATTTCTTTTGAACTAAGTCTTCTCAACCTGCGGTGTGTAAAAAAGCAGCAGTATAGAATAAAATGACCCAAATCTTTTTTATTCTTATAAAAAAAAAAAAAAAAGAAGAATAGAACAAATATTTGTAGATATGTATATGGAAAAACAAGAAAAATGACACACTCACATTTTTTTATTTCATCCTTTGACTAGTAAGCACACAGTTACTTTTTTGCACTCTCTCATAATAACATTGTTATCTAACAACTGCTAATCAAGCGGACGGTAATTTACTTTTTTTTTGTTGTTGTTAAGATTTATTATTTTTGTATTTGAAATACTTTTTATTTTTATTAATCTTTATCCATCTTTATATTCTCTCATTGTACAAACACTAAAAATATTTCTATGTCTTGGTGTTCGGACTACTTTTACTGAATGAGTCAAACAAAATTGAATTTGACCTTGAAATTTTTCGTTGCGTATGTGCCACATCTACGTAGGCGAAAAGGTGTCATTCTATATTTTGACAATAGTCTAGGTATATTGTTCACATCACCCAAGAAAAATATTTTAGAACTAGGCTTTATTAGGTAGAAAGGACTATTTTTTAATAGTGCCGAGATGAAGAAAACAAACAGGTATAGTATAAGTTTTTTGAGAGTATGAATGTATTTTTGAGAGAATATACTTTCTTTTTGCTGTTTGCTGCTATAATCTTCCGGATAGACTTTACTATAAAAAAAAATCGACAGAAAGCTTTTTGATTGAAAAAAATTTGGCAAAATCAAAAAATAAATATGATGCATAATAAATGCAAGTTTTTGATGTGTTAATCTTTGAATTAATATTTTTTTTTAGCTTACTTATTCTAGCTCTAAAATTTTTCTTTTTATTGGATAGTATAGTGAAGGCTGCGATAGGAATTTTGTTTTTTTAAGCAATGAAAGAAGAAAACTTGTTAGAACGCCAAAAATATTATAAAATATTTTGTTACTTTATAATTATAGATAGCATTGGATCAAAATTTTATACTTTTAAAACTCATTTTATTTTAGAAATAATTAAATGTTATTATGACCTTAAAAAGAAATCATAAAATTATGAAGATTATCTCAAGGATTAGTTGCAACCATTCGTGCGTGTCGGGAATTTGTTTTTTTTTTAATATCACATAGTCGATATTCATTCATTGAATATAATAAGTGCGTTCATTGGATATAGACATGTTCTTACGCTACTCGGTACTATACGATAAAAAGACAATTGATGAATAGAAACCTCTGCATTATTTTTTCTTTATCTTTCCCGTTGTGAAATGGAAAAAAAAAAGAAGATATTTTTAACTGTTTGAATAGAATTGAATAGCGCAAAAAAAAATAGTAAGAACTTTTTTTCATCATTCTCATGACAAAAAACCCTATAGCTATGTAAAATTTTCTAAATATTAAATATTAGTTTCACATGCTTAGATGCAAGATAAATTGAATGAAAATACTTTCGGTTTTTGCGCACTGCATTTACTCGTGAAATTTCACGAAGAATCATTCATTATTGGTTCTTGGCGGTTATAGATTCTATTTTTCTTTTTTTTCAAAAATAGTTGTATTATATTTAATAACTGAAAAATTGAATAATGAAACAGTTCATCTCAAAGATGACAATGTTTGAAAATTTTTACGTATGTTTCAGCCGTGGAAAGAAACTTCAATGAAACGATCAAAACTATCTCACTCAATTACATTAAATGAAAGTTTGCATTTGAATAATAATATTAATAACTTAGCAAAAGATGCTGACCACGAAAAAGAACGAAAGAAAATACGAAAAATACCCTTTCCATTCGGCTGTTGGTATGTTTTATCGATATTATAAAAATCTCTTATTTCTAATTATATCTTTTTAGTCGAATTTGTTTCGATAAGGCAACTGGCGTCCACTATGGAGTTCCAACATGTGAAGGATGTAAAGTAAGTTTTGCTAATTTTTAAATAAATGATAAAAAAATACATATATATCTTTCTTTTTTGTAGGGTTTTTTTAAACGCAGTATATTACGTAAAGAAAAATATCGTTGTTATTTTGGTGATGGATGTACTATAAATATTGAAAATAGAAATCGGTGCAAATCATGTCGATTTCATAAATGTCTTATTGAAGGAATGTCTGTTGAAAGTATAAATACAATTTTATGATTTTTATGATGAATTCCATCTTGATTTGTGTTTTTTTTTAAGGTGTTAAAATGGGACGTATTCCAAAAATCGTGAAAGAAAAAGCAATAAAAGAACAACATCAACAGCAACGACAACAACAATATTCGCTAAATGAAAATCCAAGTTCACCAGAAAGTGAAAAAAATGTTGAAAATAATGATCCTGATCAATCAAAAGGTATAAAATTATCGTGTTATTTCTATTTTTCTATTACATTTTATTTATTTGTTTATTTTTATAAAATGTTTAGACTCGAACTTATTTTATACGTCTTACTTACTTCCAAATGCAACAAATCCTTTTGATATCCCGCCGACATCGGATATTCTACCATCATTTCTACATTCACCTATTCCACTTGAACCATTATCATTTTCTTCAGACATGAATTCACTTATCCATTCATCATTAACAACTACACATGAATCATTACCTCTAATAGTATATGAACAATGTCAGCATGCTGTTTCAAATGTTCAGTTATTAGCAGACACTGCAACAGACTCCTATCATTTTGAATCGGCATTTCAGTCGAGTAACACCTATGCTAATTTATCCGTAACAACATCGTCTCATGCGACTAGTCAAACATTTTTATCAGATGATTTTTCGATTGATGAAACAAATAACGCTGAGATGAGTCGTGGAATGAATATTGCTCAACAAATTGTTAAATTAAATACATTGGCATTAACAAACTATATGACTAATTGCGATGAACATTTTTCAATAAATGTTCTAGAACGAATGAACACTATTGCACCAAAATTATCGAAACCAGAGATATTTACAGAATTAAATTATGAAGAATCAACGTTCATACGTTATTTAAGATGGAAAATGTTCGATTTATGTGCATCATATAATGCAAGAACAAAACAGTTAATTGAAAGAATGATTGGACTTATTAATCTCGGAGTATGTAATAATATCTTGTTATCGTTGATCTAATAACAAGATGGATTTTAATTTTTGCCCTAATATTAATTTGAAACATTTTCTATCAGTAACATAGTTCTCAGAGATTAAGTTTATTCCTTCAAAGTCTGTCATGTCATTCATATAGAATGATATTATGGTATATACTGACATATTTTTGTTATAATTTTTATACATTTTTAGATACGAGAATATCCCGGTAATAGTTCATCGATTATGGAGATTTGGGCTGGTTTAACTGGTATGTCGATAAAAAAAAGAAGATTATATGTATAAATGTTTTTCTATTATCAATTCGTAATTATTAGTTTTTTTCAGATGCTATACCATTTCATGTTAAAAATTTGATCGCTTTTGCTAAAGAGGTAAAATATACCAAATGTATAATTGAAATAGATTTGAAAATGATTCATTTTCTTTAGATGCCAGGTGTAGCCGAATTATGCTCACAAGATTTTCATAAAATGATGAATAATCGTTTATTTGATTTTTGGTTGGTAAGTATCTACTTAAGTTTAGTAATTCTAGATATTTTTTGAGAATATTAATGTGATAATTTATATAGAATTATATTGATTTTAGTTTTTTTATTATCATTTTTTTAATATATCGAATGTTTGTGATACTTTTCTATTATTTTCTTTTATTAGATAAAACATGCACCATTAATCCGAAACAACGAGTCGTATATGATGTTACCAAATGGTTTGCAATATACACGAGGATGGATGATTCAAATTATCGGAGAAGAAATGGTGAAAACAATGTTTGAATTTGCAGAAAAATTTAATCAGTTAAAATTAACTCAAGAAGAACACGGTATACTGTTCATTATTCTTATTTAATATCTCACTATTTCTAATTTGATTTTTAGCATTGGTATTTCCTGTTGTGATTTGTACAAATGGTATGTCATGTTCACATTATTATAATTTATCATTCAAAATAAAAATAAATAAAACTTTTTTGTTTTGTGTTTTTATAGATAAAACTCTAGAAGATCAAAATACGGTTCAGATTATACAATGTTGCTATTTGTATGCATTATTCGTCCAAATGTGTACAACTCGAACAGATTATGAATCAAAAGTTCTATTTCATAATTTATTGGCGGTAATGTATTATATCTATTATAATTCTCTTCTTTATTAAATTGTTTTTCTTTAGGTGTTTGACTTTTTGCCATTACTAAACGAATTACAGGAGAAAAAAATTGGTCCACTTATACCAGCACGTAAGTTATTTATATTTATTGCAATAAATAAAAATTTGAAGCGTCATTACTACTGCATAGCCAAATTTCAATTTCATTCGTTTCGACAGTTTATGAAAGATGTATTATTTTTATAAATTGGTAATCTTGCTGAATTTGATAAATCAGTTCTCGGTATTTCTGATTAAAATTCATACGCTGTGTGTGTGTTTTTTTAATGAGTGTGCTAAACAATTTAGTCTTTAAACAAGTTTTTTTGCAATGCAAGCATTCTAAATAGCTTGAAAAATTCTTATTCTTGTTTAAAATAAACATCTGAAAGATCATGGTAATTGTGACGGTTCTGGTACAATTCAGCGAGAGATTATATTTTTTACTTAAAATCGTATTTTGGTGTAATGAGATACATTCATTACTAGTGATTAAGCTTGATTTTTTTTTCTCGTTTTCATCTACATAGCACAACTACTATCCGTTGTTTTTTATCGTTTTAGATGAAAATCCACCACAATGACATCTTTTTTTTTTCTTGTTGCCTTCTTTTCTCATTGTATGTTGGTCACATTAGCGAAACCGGTTAAGTGAGTGAATACGCTCAATATTGTCTTTTGTTTTATTGTTGTTTCTACATCTCATAGTCAAACTATTTTTAATTTTTCTGTTTTATCTATATATACAACTTATATAAGTATATGTTAATTTTAGTTTACAAATTATTTTTGTTGTTCGTTAATTTGGTTTTATTTGTACAAAAGGAAAGCAAAAAATATGTGTTTAATGTGAATTAGGCTTTAGATGACAAAAGACAGCAGTAAAAGTGATGGTCGGTAAATAAATTATATAGTAGTGAATATTTTAGTTACAGTACAAAATGAAGAAAATCTATATCATTTATATATATAAATTTGCTACTGGCCTATGTTTTTCTCAGCTATTCATTGACTTTGACACAGATTTTTAAATGATTAATGAATAGTAACGTCTTTAACACAAAAATGAATGATAAAGTCTTTAATACAAGTGTATTCATATTTACAGCACTAGCCTAAGAACAGACGAAAAGAAAAAAAAAAAAGGAAAAAAAAAAGTAGATGCCGTTGCAGCTGTTACTTCAAAAGAAGAAACATTAGTCAAAAACATATATTTATTTTGAACATGGTTTTAATATAAAAGTTCTAATCATCTATTTTCATTTATTATTCAAACAGATGATCGATTTTTCTTCTAACTGGTTTCCAGGTTAGTAATTACTATCAAAAGTATGTTATTAAACAATGAAAAAAAGTGCTATCATTAGAAAATAACGTCACATATCAGTAGTATATGTATCATTAGTGGTGATTATTACACTGTTTTTCCTGGGGAGCTTTTACGTTTGAAATATTGTCGATATGGATAAAGGCACGTGATAAATAGAAATACACACTAACTATCCGATTATTATTGTATTCTTGTGTTTAACATAATAAAACTAATAATTGTGCTACGTTTGATAAACTTTGAATAGAATTTATACTGCTGTTAGACAATTTGACACGATAATTTTGATACAATATTCGATTTTATCCAGCGATATGTATAATTGCTTATTACCGAGTATAATAATTATTGGAACATAAATTGACTTCTTACTTTTGCTACACCTTGTAGCGGAAATAGTAGCGGAAGAAAAAGTTCAAGTCGAAAAGAATTTTGAGTTTGGAAAGTTTTCATTTTTTTCGACTTTTATCTAATTGGCAATGTAAGAATTTCCAATAATAATTGGAATATTAAGTACAAAAGTAAACATAATTTAGTATTTTCAGAATATGAGTCAATTTATGCGGTTTCTTATATGAATAACGTATACAATATGCCTTTATAGTTAAAACGCCAAAGTTCATTTGAAATTTCATTATCTTTATACGCTTTTTGAAGGCAATTAATTTTGATTCGAGTAAAATTCGACTGATTTCATTCAAACACCATTAGACTATCTTCAAATCGTACGCGAACAAATTATTGATTTTGAAACGGTCAGAATTAACACCTTAAGTCTATCGTATCGGCAGTAAACAATTTAGTGAATTGTTGAATGTTGTTGTATTCTCATTGAAACTATAAGTCTAAAATAAAATTGTTCAGAATATTTGTTGGCAACAATAAGTTTAAACTTAATTGTGATACAAATATGGGCAATGTAGAATATTACAACTGTGCATGATAACTGATCTGAATATTTTTCCTTTTTTCTGCACGGAAAAAAGAAGTAATCTTCATGGAGACATTTTTCTGCACGGTTTGTTTAGTAAAGAGATTAAAATTTATAAAAGACTTATTTCTGCACGGTTTTTCAGTGAAGAAAAGATAATGTCGACTGTAATCATTGAAGAGTCCGAAATAGGCTCATTTATAAATCAATATAAATAAATCGATTTATAAATCATAAATTTTTCTCTCGCAAATTTAAGGCGGTTATAAACATTTTCTGTATTTATAAATTTTTTGATGATTTATAAATTTTCCAATGATTTAT